CTGGGAGGGGCTGAAACTGCAGTTAGATTCAGACATTAGACCTACGTTTGGTCCCTGGGCTTCTGGCATGAGTGACGCCATTGGGGCCTGTGGTTTTCTCTTAACATGATGTTTTAGAAAATCACAAGCAATGAATACCCTTTTATCCAATGAATACTGGCTAAATATTTATATTTTAGATTTTAAATAGCTTTGTATATTTATATTCACATAGGTAGTTTTAATATAAATCTATAAACATGATAATAGGTATATATCCTGAATTTCATGTTTTTTATATCGCAGTCTTTTTTTTTCTCCTTTTTTCACTTGGCACTGTTCTCCCCTCCTGCTGCCGGTCCGTCTGCGTCACCCTGCCCCAGACAGCCTGGTAACTGGTCGATGTGTTTCTCTCCCCACTCCCCCATGTGCGCAGCTCATATGTGCTATACACATATTTACAAATATACAGATAATTGCACAACATATTCATACACACACATATGTGTACAGGGATTTTTTCTTCCTTTGTTTTTCAGAAATGAAATATTACACATGGGATGGTCAGTTGTGTCAATGTGTTTTACCCTATCAAATGCTAATACAGGTGTCATGAGGACGTGTTGTACATGTGGTTAAAATCCATAATCAGTAGCTTTATAAGTAATATCCTAGATAATCTAAGGGGGTGTGGCCTTATCCAATCAGTTGAAAGGCCTTAAGAGCAGAACGGGTACTTCGGGAAAAAGAAGAAATTCTGCCTGTGAACTGGAGCTGCAGCCTCAGCCGGAGATTTCAGGGCTGCCCTTCCTGATGTGTGGCCCTACCAAGTTCGCTCAGGCCTCACCACCCTCCGCAGTCCCGTGAGCCAACTCCCACCGTAAATCTCCTTATATATGTTCCCACTGATTCTGTTTCTGTAGTTGAGTCCTGACTGATGCAACACACTTTTTTTTTTTGTTATTTTGCCTTTTTTATACAACATTAGTTCTTGAAAATAGCCCACAGATGCAGCTACGGTTCATTTTCTTTAATCGCTGCACATCATTCTGAGGTGTGGATGTACCAGTACATTTTAATTATTGTCAGTTTTATGCCATCCTGAAAAATGCTGCATTAAAGACCTGATAAGGGTGGGTTTTTTTCCTTTTAGATAGAATCGCAGAAAGGAGACTGCTGAGTTAAACGACTACTTACATGTCTCCTAAAATGGAATACATATGTATCCATGTTTATACATATATATGTATCCATACTTAATTTTAATTGACATTATTACCTTGCCTTCAGAAAAGACTGCAACAATTCCTATGCCACTAGCATTATATGAAAGTGATCGAACAATAGATGCTACTTTTTTAAAAACTTTTTTCTGATGAATATAAAGTAACATCTAATAATTAATTTCTATTTACTTGAAGCTTAAAGTTTGCAAGTCTTTTAATATGGTTTTTCAAATATTTTTAGATTTTATTTACTTATTGTAGAGAGAGGGGAAAAGAGGGAGAAAGAGAAGGAGAGTAACATCCATGTGAGAAACATTCATCACCTGTGTCTCATACACACGCTGACTGGGGAACTAACCCACAGCCCAGGCATGTGCCCTGACTGGGAATCGAACTGGTGACCTTTTGTTTTGTGGAGCAACGCCCAAGCCACTGAGACACACCTGTCAGGGCTTTGGTGTGCTTTCGGGCATTGGGATTTGCTCTTCCCTGTCATTTTAGTAATGCCCTTTGTCTATTTGACCATTGGGTTGTTTGCTTCTTTTTAAAACTATAGGAAATTATTTTTTGTTCTCTGTACAGCAGAAATGTTAATGTTTAGGAACTTTGTTTACAGTCTACATATCTGTAGTTTTTATTTACATGTAATTAAAATATACCTATTGCTTCCATTATAGCTTTTTTCCCCCATTAGAGCTTCTTGGCCTCAAATCATGGTGAACAAGCTTACCAACATCTCTAGAAGTGGTGGTACGCAGCATATCCTAGATTGTTTTAGAAGATTTTTATTGTCCTATGTTATATTTTAGTCTTTAGTATTTTTGTTTACATTATGTTTACCTAAAAAAACCTAACAGACTTTGGTAAATCTTAATTATATAATAAACAAATGGAGATTAAATTCTTTTCAAATTCTTAACCAATTAAAAAATTTTCTTGACTTAAAATTGTCAGAAGTCCTAAAAACAATATTATAACATTAACAGCATTGAGGCATAACTGATACACATTAAACTGCACGTTTCAAGCGGGCAACTTAATGAGCTTTGAACTTCTCATATGTACACGTCCATGAATCTGTCACCACAATCAAAAAGAGGACACAGTCATTTTCATTTTGTAATCATTTTCAAAAGTTTTGTTTTTGACCTTTGTAATTCCTCCCCACACCCACCTACCCAGGCAATCATTGATCTGCTTCCTAGTACTACTGATTAGTTTGCATTTCCTAGAATTTTACATAAATGCAATGATAAAGCAGGTGCTTTTTTCCTTTTGGTCTGGCTTAGCTTACTCAGCATAATTATTTTGAGATTAATTTATGGTGTTCATGTGCTGATAGTTTATTTCTTTCTATTGCTCCATGTACTGATAGTTTATTTCTTTCTATTGCTGATAGTTTATTTCTTTCTATTGCTCCATTGCTATAGGATGTATTTACCTATTCACCTGTTAATGGACATTCCATTTAGTGTTGGGTCTCCTAGAGCAGTGTTTGAACACTGAGACTAGGTTTTTCCACACGCTTTGCATTCATGTTTATTACCTGTATGGGTTCTTGTGTGTACAATAAACAGTGTGATTCAAGAGAAGGCTTTTCTACCCTTGTATGCTCATAGATGGCCTCTCCTATCTAAATGGTGTAATATTTAATGAGGTATAGCTTCTGCCTGGAGATTTTTACACATTCATTGTATTTATAGGGTATCTCTCAAATGTGAATTTCCATTTGCCATCGAATGCTTTCTCACCTTCCTTACATGCATAGGGTTTAGTTTCAGTATGACTTCCCTGGTGTCTAACGAGGCCTGACTTATGAATAAAAGCTTTCTCGTATTTATTACAGTCATAAGATTTCACTCTTCTATGGACTATCTGATAAATACTGAGGGTTTTTCCTTTTGGCTGAAGATTTTCTACATTCATTACATTCCTAGAGTTTCCACCCCCTCCCCAGTATGAACATTTTTATCTTTAATGAGGTATTGCTTTCTATCTAAAGATGCTTTCACATCGATTCCATTCAAGAGTTATTTTCCAGTATGAATTTTCTCATGATCTGTGAGATATGATTTGTTACTGAAGGCCTTTCCCACATTCTTTGTATACACAGGGTTTCTCCTCAGCATGTCTTCCATGGTGTCTACTGAGTCTTGACATTTGCACAGAAAGTTTCCCACATTCATAAGTTTTTCTTAGAATGATGAGTATGAAGTTTTTCTATTATAGCTGAAGGCTCTTTCACATGTAGCACTTTTACATGATTTCTAATCTATATACATTCTTAAATGTAGAGTGAGGGATGAGATTCAAGAGAACACTTGGGCCCTTACCTGTGTGGCTCAGTTGGTTGGGTATTGTTCAGCAAAACGAAAGGTCACTGGTTTGATTCCTGGTCAGGGCACATGCCTGGGTTGCTGGCCAATCCTGGTTGGGGTGAGTGCGAGAGGAAACTGATCAATCTTTCTCCCTCCTTTTCCCTTGCTCTAAAAACAAATAAAACCTTAATATATATATAGGCTGGTGTAGCTCAGTACATTGAGCGTGGGTTGTGAACAAAAGGGTTGCCGGTTTGATTCCCAGTCAGGGCACATGCCTGGGTTGTGGCCAGGTTCCCAGTATGGGCCATGTGAGAGGCAACCACACATTGATGTTTCTCTCCCTCTCTCCATGTCTTCCTTTCTCTAAAATTTAAAAAAAAAAAAAAGAGCACAGTTAAGGAGAGAGAGGGAGGGAGAAAACACTTGACTATATTCATCACTCGTATGAATGCACACTCTCCATTATGTATTTTCTCATAATCTCTGACATATTGCTTCAGGTTAAAGGTTTGTCCACATTCATTATATTTGTAAGTTTTTCTCCAGTATGATTTAACGTCTGAGGAGATTTGATTTGGCTGGAGGCTTTCTCACATCCTTACATGTCATAGTTTCTCTTTTCTATTAATTTGCCGGTATACGTTGACACTGTATTTCTAAGAGAAAACTTGTCTCACAATGATTGCTCTTCTCTTTTACGTACTGACTTTTAGAGAGTGGGGGGAAGGAAGAGAGAGAGAGAGGGACAGACATTGATTTGCTGCTCCACCCCTCTGTGCACTCATTGGTTGCTTCTCGCATGTACCCTGCCAGAGATCGAACCGGCAACTTTGGCCCAGAACTTTGGCACACAGAGTTGACACTGTAACCAACTAAGCTACCTGGCCAGCGCACAATAATTACTCTTAAATGGGATTCTACAAATGAGAGGAACCACAGTATACTCATATCCATACTAATCCTTGCTTGCAGAGAAACATTGTTTGGTGGCCTCCCATTTGCACCCCGATTGGGGATGGAACCTTCAACCCAAATATGTGCCCTGACTGAGAACAGAACCCACAACATTTTGGTGTATGCTTCAACCAACTGAATTACCCTGCCAGGGATTTAAAAAAATTAAAATCCATTTTTATTTGGATTGCTTGTTTGGTGTTGAGTTGTGTAAGTTCTTTACATATTTTGAATGTTAACTCCTTTTTAGAGCTGTTGTTTGCAAATATCTTCTCCCATTTGATTGGTTGGCTTTTTGTTCTGTTGCCGGTTTCTTTTGCTGAGCAGAAGCTTTTCATTTTGACACAGCCCCACTCATTTATTTTTGTCTTTACTTCTCTTGCCTTTGGGGTCAAATTAATAAAATGTTCTCTGTGACCAAGAAAAAACAATAATTCTTGCACAGCTTCCCTCATAATGAAATTTAAATTATGGTCTAAAATTTTCAAACTGAATCATATTTATAAAGGTGTTTTCTTTTTCTTAAATTCTTTTAATTGATTTGAGAAGGAGGGAAAAAGGTAGAGAGGGAGGAGAGAGAGACAGACCCATCAATTTTTGATGTTCCACTTATTTATGCATTCACTGGTTGATTCTTCTGTGTGTCCCACTGGGGATTGAACTTGCAACCTTGGCATGTCAGGATGATGCTCTAACCAACTGAGCTACCCAGCCAGGGCCACAAGGGTGTTTTCTTAAAGTAACAATGTTTGATGGAAAATGCTTTTCCATTTCATACATTTTCTTTTTCCTTAACTGTATTTCATGGAGAAAGAAACAACTTGATTTAAAGCCTTTATATGGCTTCTTTCTCTTCTTATTAACTTCCCAGGCTTCTTCTGGACAACACCTCCTTTACAATTCTTTCTCCAACATCCATGACTGCAGCTGTTTGAACTGAAAGTCATATCCAGTTTTGTGACTTAAGATCTCTGGGAGTCTGGGCCACAAACAAAAGCAGATAACCCATCATGGCAAATTCTTTGGAAAGCCACTTATTAGCTTAAAATGCATTTTATTTTCAGACAACCTACATGACATATTTTTTCTTCAAAATAATGCCTCTGCTCCAAATAAACGAAGGTTAAAATAAATGAAGGGTTCATGGTAACATCAGTCCCATTTATCCTAGCTCTGGTGTGTGGATGAAAAACAGAGGTCGGTTATGATGACAGGTGATAGATCCAAATTGCCCAATTTGTTCACATTTCCCCATTTCTAAACCGTCCTCAAAGAAAATCAGCGTGAGGTCACACCACCCTCTGGTGGTTCAGCAGATCAATCATACCACCTGGATTCACATTTTTGCCATAAAGGACCCGCAGGTTTCGAAATTATCGAGGCTGTGCTGGACTTGCTCCACAGCCCCTGTCGTCAGTGGCTTCAGTATTTCTGCACTCTGTTCTTCAGTTTCCCTTTGACTGATCTGAAGTCATCTTTGATGCACTGCTTGTAGGCTTGTGCCCTGACCAGGAACCAAACAGGCAACCTGTCGCTTTGCAGGAGGACACCTAACCAACGGAGCCACACCAGTCAGGGCCATTGATAATTCTTGCCTGAAAAAAAATTAAGAATTGCTACAGTTGCTGCCAAATATTTTTTTTTCTTCCGAGAATTTCTCTTCTTATCGGTGTGCTTTCCTCTGTAATGAACTTTCTACGTTTACTCACTGACTTTTTTAAACCTTTGTAGATTCCTCACTGTTACACATTTTTTAAAAAAGTCTTTTAAAACTAGCACACACAACATTCTAGTTGTTTCTATTGACCTACCTTATCTGCTATACTATTGGCAACACCTGTTATTCTTCACCTCTCTCTTTCGGTAACTCCTGAGTTTCCCAACCCTCCCCTGAAGCTGCTTCCACCTCCATTTTCCCAGATCCACAGGTTCTTTTTTTTTTTAATTGATGAAAGAGAGTGATTGATTTGTTGTCCCACTTATTTATGCAGTCATTGGTTGCTTCTTGTACGTGCCCTGACCAGGGATCCAACCTATGACCTTGGCATATCGAGCCAATGCTCCAGCCAACTGACCTACCCGGCCAGGGCACAGGTTATCTGTCTTTATCTTTCTTAACCCTCGGCAACATCAGCTGCAGCTGACTACTACATTCTTTCTCCCCTTGGCTTCTAAGACATCATCCTCTTCTGTTCTTCTGGTTTACTGGCCTTCACTGTCTCGTTTTGGCTCTTCCCTGTGTCTCTTCTCTAAATTCAGCAGTTTCCATGACTTTCGCCCTAGACTTTCTTGTCTTCTCTACATGCTATCTCCCTCATCTAATCCTCATGACGACCTTAACTAGTTAGATGTCATGTAATCCCATGTAAATACAATTTACTGTCTGATAAGTTCTAAAATTACACTGTAGCCCAGATCTCTCCTTGGGTTCTAATTGTGCCGTATGTCCAGCTGGATTTCTAAAACATATTTGAAACTTAACATGACTATGACAGAATTCTTACTGATCCAGCCATTTCTCAGTTAAGGCTTCAACAGTTACTTAGTCACTCAAGTCTCAACTTTATCACTCCATTGTAATCACTAGAAATCTACACTCTGTCCCATTAGCTCATCCATTCACAAGTTCCGTGGCTTTACTTCCAAAATATATCTGTTCCTACACTCGTCCCCATTTACACTATTTTACTCCCCATTTTAGTCAAGATTACTAAAAAGATTATTTCTTGCTTAGAGCTTGACAGATTCCTTGCTACCCACCTTGTCTTTGTTTTTATCCTCTCCCCAAATATAGAGCAGCCAGAGGCTTCTAAGTGGCATCATAGCCCTGCTAAAAACCACCAATTACTTTAAATTGCGCTTAAAATACAATAACAACTCTAATATTATAGCCTTCAAAGCCTTATAAGATTTGGTCCTTGCCTAGTTCCCCAACTTTTCTCGTAGTACAATACTCCTCTTCTTGTGTTCCAGCAAATCTGGCCTTCTTACTATTTTTCAGTGTGTTAGAGCGAAAGATCCGTAAAGGCAGGGATTTTTAATGTGTTGTGTTTTCCCAAAGCACCTATGACAGTGCCTGGCATCATTCAATGGAAGAAGAAATTAATACGTGCATGCCAGGATTTTTTTTTTCCCTTCATGCTTTTGCATGTGCACTTCAATCGGACTGGAATGCTCTCCAAGATCTTAACATGGGTGGCTTGTGTCCATCACCCAAGCCTTAGCTCAGATGTTAGTATCTTAGAAAGGACTTCTAACAGCAATTAAATAAAAATTATTTAAAAAAAGATAAAATAAAAATAATGTAATGTTTTATACATTACTTATAGTAAGATAGATGATTCAATAAAAAGTCCAAGATTTAAAAAAAAAAAAAAAGGACTTCTTTGACACACTATTCAAATTGCCAGCGTTCCCTTCCCTTTTGCATTTTCTAGCTTTATTTTCTTCACAGCACCAACCATCACTCGGAATTATCTTATTTATTTTCTTCGGTTGCCTCCACTAGAATGTAAGGTCCAGAAGAGAAGGGACTTTTTGGAGGAAGTGTCCCCATTCTATCCTCATTGTTTAGAACAGTGACTGGGCATAGTGCATAGTCAATGATTACTAGTACACTGAAAGGGGTGAATTTTACTGTATATAAACTTAAAAATTATTAAAAATTTTTATATAACATGCAGATTCCTGTGTTTTACAACAGACCTTCTGAATAAAATAAATCTCTGGGGTGGGACCTATCTGTAGTGTTTGTGCACTCTGAAGTTTTAGGCCATTTCCCCAGTCCATGAGGGTGAGCTGGGCCTCCAGTCCATATATCCTCATTTCCTTATGGCAAGTTTCCCTTCTGGGTTCCTTGTCATTTTTGGTCCAGTTCATCAGAGAGGATGTAATGTCAAATCTCAGAATGGGGGAAGCTCTCTCTAGAGACCAGGGGGTAGAAGAGTGGACTTACCGGACCTCTGGCATTATCTACCCCCGCACTAAAGGGGAACATTAGGGTGACTCTTAACTGAGTCTTCCTTAAGGCATCTGACTTTCAAATCCAGTTAAGAGCTAATAATAGTATCTCTTACTATGAATGCTAAGCTCTGGTTTATCAGGCCCCAATTCACACTTCTTTGCAATTAAATTCCCCAAGTGTTTACTGATAGTCTATTCCAAGTCAAATGCTGTATAAACAGGAGTCTGTGGAGGAACAAGACATGGCTTAGTTACAAAGTTGGTTACAAAGTAGTCAACTATCTTGGAGTTTTAAAAACATCATGTTCTCCCATTCTTTCAACTTTGTTTCCAGTAAAAAAATAAATAAAACAGGAAAAAGGATATTGTTGGGTGAATTTTATGATCTCCTCCCCCACCCAGATATTTTCGACTTTTTTCTTGGTTAGCCATAGTTTAGTAGTTTGATGTATTATCGTAATTTAAGTTCTAGTGTGCTATTTTAGACGGAAATCTCATTTAATCTTCAAAATAATGTAGCCAGGTAGATGTTACGGACGGGTACGCTTCCTGAAGGTAGGACGTTTCCTGGTGTCTCCAGATCTAGTTGCCATTCACATTAGGAGTAACTACAGCTGGGTTTCTTGCTCCAAAGCTTGAGCTTATTTCTATGCATTCGGTGGCCCTTTGAGAAGGCAATTTTAGTATATGGAATCCTGAGGTTAATAAAATACTTAATCATTGGTTGGCCAGTGTCGAATAATACTTCATATTTCCGAAAAATCATTTCCTTTTTTGGAACGTAAGGGGAAAGATGCAGTGAGGCGCTCCAGGGTTTGGCAGGGATTGAACAGTCAGTGGGTCAGAGATGGAAGCGTGGAGAACCCCATGAGCGCTGGGCGCCCCCCCCCCCCCCCGCCCCGCACACCCCAGCAACCCTAGAGCCCGAGGCCAGGAAGTGGCCGCGCTTCCGCGCGGACACCGGGCCTCTCGGGTGTGGGATGCTTGCTTGGAACCCCGACCTGCAGTCTAACCTCTTCACCTGAAGCTCGGAGGCCCGCCGTTTACCCGTCCCGGAGCCCGCGGGACGCTCAGAGACCAGGCGACACAATCTTAGGAGTCAGCTTTTCTGATTGGCTTAGAGTACGAACGCCGACGAACGCAGGCTGAGACTCGCTCTTTGATTGGGTTTTAAAGGAACAGCAGAGCACGAAATAAAGAGGCCTTCACTCATTGGGCCATTGTGTGAATCTCCTTTTGGTTTCTCTGCCGACTGAATTAGTGTCTCGGGATCTTCGTCATGAGTCTTAAATCTGGACCTGTCAGTTCGCCCCAGCATTATTCGTCTCTAGGCTAGGCATGGGGTTTACAGAGTCAGCCAATCACATAACGCCGAGATCAGGTTGCTAGGCAGATTATGGTAATAACGCCCCGCCTTTTATGCTGCTCCCACTCTGCGGCGGGAAGAACCACCTGGAGGTGGCGGGGGGGGATTGATTTCCATCACCCCTAGGGAGAGAGGATCGGGGACCCGCTGATCTTCCAGCTCCCCTCACCCAACCTCGTGTAAGTACCTACAGGATTAAGGGAACCGGATAAGCCGGCGTCCAGAGTACCCCATCGACTGGGAGGGTGTTTCGTCTTTGCTTAGTCCCACCCAAAATGGCGCCAAGCTCTTTCCGCGTCTCAGAGCCCGGCCGGGGCCAACCGACCGCGGACCCGGGTGGGGGGGGATTGATGGTGGTGGTGGTGGGGGGGAGAAATCCCGGCGGCACCGCCCGATGGTACAGTCCAGCCAGGGCTGGGACGCGGCACCTCACTCGGGGTGGGGGGGGTCAAACATCTGCACCTTCTAAGGGGAAAGGGCCAAATCCCCCTAGAGGAGTCCCTCCTGGCGCTGCGTTCCGCGATGGCCTCGGCGGCGCTTCGCCCCTGCCTTCCCCACGCGCAGCCTCCTCCCTGCGACCCTAGAGTGGCTCGCATGCTCCGCTGGCCGCGCGCACCTCTCCTCCCCTGCCCGCATTGGTTGGGCCGGGACGGCAGTTGGGCGCCCAGCGCGCTCCTGCGGCGGCGTTTGGGCGGGCGCTTGGGGTGCTGTGGGGCGTCTCCCGCGGCCAAGGCCCGGGGACGACGCGTGGGTGGCGGCCCGGCACCGGTCTTCGGGGCCGGTGGGCAGGGAACCCCTTCCTTGAAGGGCTCCATGGAAGGGGCCCCCTGCTTTGTCTTATAAGGACGCGCCGCCACCTTCCATTGATTGCTGATGTCCCATTCCTTATTTACAATTTTGCGTCACCGAGACCGGGGAGGCCCCGCTTGGAGGAGCTTGGAGATGGCCCGTTGGGGTCAGTCTCCGGAAACAGTGTCCCGGGGTGGGCTGGGCGGAGCTGAGGTCCACCTGCGCGTCTGTCGAGTGCAAAGGCGGGAGTCATAGGCCTTTGGGGAGCCGCTTGATGTTACAGTTTCCAGCCGATCATCAACTTTCATTAAGCACTTGTTAGTCTGTAGCCAGGTATTAGGTATTGTGTCTCCTAAGTGAACTCACAGCTGTTGCATTTCGTGTGCGTGCGTGATTATCCTGGCTTGGATTTGCTGGGCTCAGTCGATTTTCGGTCGATATTTGTGTACGTTTAAGCACAAGGAGTGCTGGTTGGGGTGCCGTCATCGAGGATTAAATGTGTGATGAGTTCCACCCAGCTCAGTCTTGTCTAATTCGCCTGTTCAAATCTTGCCGGGCTGGCTCATCACCCCGCAAAGTTCTTTCAAACTCCACAGTGTTTCCCTTTACTAAAAACAAAATCACTCGGGATTGTTTTGTGGCCTCTTTTTCTGACCCGTTCCATTACTGCTTTAAATTCATCGAAGTCAGGAAGGTATATTGTATCTTTTTAGTACTCTCCTATCCACTCCCCCGCGGCCCCCCCGGGGCACCATCATGGTTTCTATCTACCTGGATTAACAATACTTACATGTTGCTGTAGAATTGAGAAACAAAAACAAAGGGTTGGTTGGAGCAAAGCCGAGTTTAAAGCAGTCTGGATTCAAACTGGTGAAGTAATTTGGGAAGTAATTTATAGGTTTACTCTTTTCATAAATTGAGCTTAAATTATCATAAAATGAACTATTTTAAAGTGTAAAATTTAGGAGTAGATTTACATTTTTAAAATTTGGACCAAGACATTTTCTCCACCTCGTGACTCCTATTACACATTTATTCCTTGAGCACCCACCCTTGGCTCTGCTCTGTTTTGCAAGGATGCTAAACAGCTGTTTTTCCAAATAAGCCATTTTTGGTTTAATGTTGTGAAGTGTGCTCCACCGCATATTAATGTGTGCATTGTATATGTATCATGCATGTGAATGTGATCAAGTGTGTATCATAAGGCAAAGTTCATGTCTTTGAAGGGCCCTGCAGGCTTTTTGCGTAGAGATTATGCTGGTGTAAGGGAGCACAGATCAATCCAACATAATCATAAATTGATTGGTGCTGCTTCAATTTCCACTTGTATAAATTAACTTTTTTCTGCTCATTGTAGAAAACAGAAAATAGAGAAAAAATTACCTGAAGTACGATTACCAAAGATAATCCCTGCTGATCCTTTGCTGTGCTTCAAATCTCATGTGTGCATAAACATTTTCACAAACTTGTCCTTATGGTACATGGTTTTTATATCTATTTTTAAAAAAGTAGATAGATATCTTATGACTTCAGTGATAATTTGCCACTTTTAGTAGTTCCCCCCATTAGTTGAAGGGGTATCATGAAGTTCTTTGAATTAAAAGAATTATAATAGTTGATTCCTTTTACCATTTACGTGTATAACCCATTGGGATAGGTTTCTGAGCAACAAGCAGAATTGTTCAAAGAGTTGAGAAATATGAGCTATAATTTTGATTTCCTTAATAATTTTACAGTGCAAGCACTGGTAAACTACATAATTTCATTTGGTAAAAATAGTAAACTATTAAACATCTCGTCATTTCAGTGTTTGTTCTGTTTAGTCAGACTTTGTTTTACAATAGAAGGCTGATGTACTTTGACCTATTATCACTAACATACATGGTTTTCCCCACCCCATCTCCTTTTGAAAATGTGTAGACACACCCTGTCCAGCAATTTGTATGTTTTTTTTACAAGCAGAATTTATAAATTTATTTTAAATTTATCAGAGCAAATGAGAATTTGGTCTGGTGTAGCAACAGTAGTGAGTTGAGAAAGTGTATGTTTGGTACAACCACATCTTTGCAGAATGGTTCTGCTCAAATTCTGCTGGAGTACTGGGGTAAGGGCAGGAAGGTGAGGGGGTATTTTTTTCCTAATTTATTATTTTGGTCACTCTCTGTTGAAGCCTTTGTCTCCCTCTTCTGATACTATACTATTTACATTATTTAGTTGAACCATTACTAAAGGATATCTGGCCTCTGTCCTTTTATTATCTGTGTGGTAACCCTAGTTTCAGACTTAATGTGTAACATTCTGAATTGGTGCCTTTCCAGTTTATTTCCGTCAGCTCCTTTGTGACATTGATACTTCATGGTTAGTGCTGAAACATTATTTCCAATCCTTTTGCAAAATCCTGCAAGAGCTTTCTATTGCCCATACCTGTGTTTTAAGTTTGTTCCCACTGTGGAAAGCACCTGGACGTAGGTGTTTGATAACTTTGAAATAATGTAAAGAATTGGAAGGGGGAGAGGAAATGGAAAGGGAGGAGGGAGGTTACGGATAGTCCTAAATCACAACTGTAGCAAGGGCAGTTAAAATTTGGTGAAAACAACCATTATAAAGTTAATCCTGCTAAAATGATATTATTGTTTGTTACTCATTTCTTAGTTGAACCGTCATTTTAACATGAGGATATCGGAGTTAAGTACTCCTTTTTTTTTTTAACCCGTGCCCTTGACTTTCAGTGTCTGGTTTCTGTCTGTAGCCTCTTTCCTGCTGTGATCTTTAGAGTATCTGTTCCGTACATCTGAGCTGTCCAGTATGGTCTGTGGAGCACTTGAAACATGGCTAATGCTGTGAATGTGAATTCACATGCCCGATTTGAGATTTAGTGTGAGAAAACCCTAAATATTTCTATTTCTAAAATATTGGTTACATGTTCAAATAGTATGTTGCATGTATTAAATTTAATAAAATATAATATAATGCACTTAGCCATTTTTAAAAAAGATTTTACTTATTTTTAGAGGGGGAGGGAGAGAGAAAAAGAGGGAGAGAAACGTCGATGCGTGGTTGCCTCTCGTACACCTTCCACTGGGCACCATTGCCTGCAACCCAGGCATGTTCCCTAACCGGGAATGGAACCAGCGACCCCTTGCTTCGCAGGCTGGCACTCAATCCACTAAGCCACAGCAGCCACGGCTAATTTAGCCTGTTTTTTACTTTAAAAAAATTTACCAGTACACGTGGCTTGCATGTGTGTTTGTATGTTTCTTTTGAACAGTGTGGCATTGGATAGTCCAGTAGGGGTGAGTGTTCCCAAGTAGCGCTGTCATTATACATTTTAAAAATTTTTATGTGGTTTTTTTTGTGTGTTTACCTTTTTTGTTTCTTTAGTTTCTACTAATAGGTGTGTCTCCTTATTTTAGTGCTTATATTAGCTCTCACAGAAGCATTATTATTCATTTGAAGAACACCTTAATGTTAAAACTACTTCTAGATAATTGAGTTAACTGTGTTTGAATTAATGTATTCAATTCATAATTCATTTGAACTTAAGATAATAAAATGACAACTGTTGAGCACATAATCTATTAACAAAAAAGTTGAGCTAAGCATAAGCAACTGAATTTTCCCAAACTTGGTCTGTTACTTACTCATTGACTTAAAGTTTTTTAAAAAATTGATTTAGGAGAGAGAAAGGAAAGGAGAGAGAGAGAGAAGGAGAAGCATCCATTTGTTGTTCTGTTTGGTGATGGATTCATTGGTTGATGCTTACATGCCCCCTGATCAGGGATCAAACCCACAGCCTTGGCTGTCAGATGATGAGCTAACCTACTGAGCTCCCTGGCCAGGGCCTGATTTTTGTCACCTACCATTTTTCAAAGATTTGAGATAGGTTTCTGGGAGGAACTTAAACTTGAGAAAATCAAGCTCATAAGTGTTGCTCCCTGCAATTTAAGAAAAGGCCATAATTGCCCTGGCTGATGTGGCTTAGTAGATTGAGTGTTGGCCTGTGAACCAAGAGGTCCCCCATTCAATACCCAGTCAGGGCACATGCCTGGGTTGTAGGCTAGGTCCCCAGTTGGAGGCACATAAGAAGCAACCATACATTGATATTTCTCTCCCTCTCTTTCCCTTCC